TTACAGTCATCAAGTTTGAAAAGGAAGACAGAGGTGAGGGCTAGATATATATCCAAGTACTCATTAAACATATAGAGCTACAACCCAAACTTGAAGAGAGAAGTTGCCCTTACAGAAGTTGCCCTTATTAAATTGTTGTGAATTCTGGAAAAGGCATATATATTTTTTTTTTTTACTAAGTGAAATTTATAGTTTTGTGATGTAATTCCAGCTTCTGGGGGGAAAAGCACAAATGTATGTCCCTGACACCGAAACTCAGAAATAGTGAAGTGAGTGTGATACAGAAATTTAAACTATAATTGTAGAGCTCTCCCCTGGGGGCACAACAGGTTAAAGCAACAGCACTATGAAGCCGTCTGAAGCCACTGACACATGCGTTCAATTCCCAGCCAGGGAGGTGACCCACATGGAGCGGCAGACTTCTCCTGACCCACCCGCTGCTCCCCTCAGCAGTGTATTTCAGTCAGTATGCCTGTTCTGTTCCCCACTCTGTCTCTGGAGAATCCTCTCACCTGCCGGCACCTCTGGCTTGTACCCCATTTCTTGTGTGCATAAATAAATAAATCTTTAAAAAAATAAATTATAACTTTACAGTCTTGTTTTTTCCTTTTTTTGATTTTCAGATAAATGAGACATTTGTTGAAAATTTGCACCATGTGTAAGATAATAATAAAGTAAGATTTAATAACCAGACTCGTCTAAAGCTAAATCTCCAAGATATACTTTTTAAAAGATTAACAAATTACATTACAAAAAATAATAAGAAAAGCATTCTCTAAAGGTAGTTATCAAAAAGAAGACATATAACACATGCTATAAAGAAGCATCTTTTGGGCCCTGCCTGGTGGCACAGCGGGTTAAAGCACAGCACTAACAAGCTAAAGCCACTGCAGCATGAGTTCGAGCCCCACCCCGGAGGTGACCCACAGGGAGCAGCAGACCTCTCCTGACCTGCCCGCTGCTCCCCTCAGCAGTGTGCTTCATCAGTTGGCCTGTTCTGTTCCCCACTATGTCTCTGGTGAAGCCTCTCACTTCCCCTGCACCTCAGGCCTATACCCCAGTTCTGTATGCATAAATAAATAAATCTTTAAAAAAAAAAAAAGCATCTCTTGTCAAACCAGATAGGTAGGATTTATCATTTTCTCATTGATGGTGTTTTCTAAATTGCAAAGGACAAAAAAAAAAAAATAATTTCTTGATGTAGTCTCTAGCTAGGTCTATTATAATTACTGCATGGACTGGAACTTAACTATTAAACTTTTATGATGCATTATTTAAATGTTCTCTCATCTTGATTCTGAGAAGAGTTGTTAAGTCAAAAGCGTTGCCCAGATATTAATAAAAATGGAAAATTCAACCTATAATCACCAATTGGAAATTTTAACAATATTTTCTTATTTTAAAACTACTTCCAGAACTAAGAAAACAGTCCAAGGTGTATTTTAATTATGCTCATTGAGGTAATAGTGGTTTACAATACTATATAGGTTCATCACTTATTATTGGATAAATGCAAATCAAAACCACAATGAGATACCACTTCACACCTGTGAAAATGGACTATATTAAGAAAGTCAGAAACAAGAGGTGCCGACAAAAATGTGAAGAAAAAGAAACACATGTACATTTTGGATGGGACTCTAGCCTCTGTGGACATGGCGTTTTCTCAAAGCATTGAAAATAGATCGACCATGAGCTCCAGCAGTCCAAGTCCTAGGTATTTACCAAAGGATGAAAAACAGTAATCGAAAGGGACATAGGCATTGCTTCATTCAATGTCACATTATTCACAAAAGCCAAGCTGTGGAAACAACCTCAGTACCCAACAACAGATCAATGGACGATTCCTTGGGATCAAGAAGGGCTTATTAGAGAGCTACAAGGATGGTTCAAGACTTGCAAATCAAACACTGTGACACACCGCGTTAATATAGCGAATGATAACAACTATAAGATCATCTCAATAGAGGCAAAATAGGTGCAAAAAAGCAGTCAACAAGATTAAATATCCACTCAATAAAAACTCACATGCACACACAACAAACTGTATGTAGAGGGGACACACCTCAACAAAACAAAGGCCACATGGAGTTGTGCATTGTAACTGCACGTGATGAGTTATATGTGCACACAGACACGGGGAAGGGAGTCCTTTCACAAGTATCTCATATAAGTATACTTGGCAATTACACCTCAGCAAAGTTGAAACTTGAAAAAATGAAATCAAGTCACACTTTCTATTGCGTTGAGCACCTTCTGGAATTTCCTGACCCTCCCGTGCAGGTTATCACGTAGCATTAAGTAAAGGTGCTGCTAGATGTTGCTCTTCTTACTATGGATATGTCCACTCCAAGTTTTTAAAATGACTATTATTACTTTCTCATGCCATTACTATATAGATTTAATATTGTCTCTATTAGATTTTCAATGTGGGCTACTTTTTAAAGCATATTAATGGGATGGCAGATAAAAGTATAAAAATGTAACTCAATTTTTGTGAAAAGCTTGATTATCATCTTCAGAGTTTTTTCAGAAAGCTTTTTTCTTCTCTCACTTTTCATCTTTTCAAATTGAATGACTTTTTATTCTGCTGACCAGACAAGAAGGCTCTTGATTTATAATAGCTGTGTTCCAATGATATATGTATAGAATAATTATATATGTGTGTGTGTGGTTATTTTATTTTTATACATATATGCTTTATGTATATGTGTGTATAGATACATATATATATATATAATTTCACTTTTATCTTTATGATAAAATTAGGTAACAAGATATAATTTAGTCCAAGATTCTGGAGTCACTCGTGTCTTTTAAACTAACATAACTAATTTTATAGAATGATTTTGTTCTATTCATTATCATAATTGGTTAGTACTGGTTTTAATAATGGGGTGACTAAGTGTGAACATAATATTACATTTCCCTTAATTTCTATCTCCATTTTATTCATAATTCCAGAGAAATTTATGATTCTTTATCCACTGGTAAAATGTTTGAATTAATTGAGTTATTTCAAATTCTCTTCAAATTTTTATAATTCTAAAAATGTCAGTGTGGAACTCCATTAGTAGGCCTAGAAATTTTATGCTTGAGTTCATATATATTACCAAGGCATCATGAGGAAAAATGTTTCTTAGACATTAAAATTTAATAGCCAAGAGTTGTATCCCAGGAATATGGGTACTAGTTATTTTCCCCTCATACACATTTATCTCAAAGTACATAAGATTTTTTAAAGGTATTAACAGATATAAAGGTAAACCCAATAGCCAGATTGCATTTACTATCTGCTTATCAATGATCCACTTCAGCTGAGAATGAAGGTAAGTAAATGCTTAGTGAAGCTCTTAATTCCAAAGATGTCTTTGAGCTTTGATTTGCCAGTTGCACTGGCAAGTAAAAAATCTAAATATGCTGTGAGTCCCCAGGTTTCTGTGCAGTCAAATATCCATTTGCTGAATACCACTTATGTTTGGTATGATGCTTTTGACTTGTATTCAAAGGGTCACGTTTCTGTGATAATATATACAAACGTATGAAATATTCACTAAGACCAGGCTGTATTCGCAGATCATAGATAAGAAAAGAGTGTTGAACCTTTAAGTGCAAATCCAAAACGCTAGATAATTTAACTATTACTTAGTTAATAAATAACATACTATGCTTCACAGGTAAAAATTAACTTCCTCGGCCCTCCCTGGTGGCGCAGCGGGTTAAAGCACAGCACTGAGAATCTAAAGCCGCTTCCTCATGAGTTCGATTCCCACCTGCCCCGGAGGTGACTGCATGGCGTGGCAGACCTCTCCTGACCCGCCCGCTGCTCCCTTCAGCAGTGTTTTTCATTGATCTGCCTGTTTTGCACTCCACTCTGTCTCTGGTGAATTCTCTCACCCTCCACATCTCTGGCCTGTATCCCAGTTCTGTATGCACAAATAAAATAAAATCTTAAAAAAAAAAATTAACTTCCTCTTCTAAAAGAAATCAAAGAAAAAATTCTCTAACTTCATTCCGCACTTGATCTACAAGCACCCCCAAAGACTTAACTTGTTCTTGCCTTGTTCTGTCCACATTAGCTAGCTCCTGTTGGAGCAGAGAAAAGACATTCTCTAGTCTCATTTCCATAATAGCTAGCTGTTTTGTCCAAGAACCACCAAGTCAGTGGTGCAGTTTGACAGGAACACCAGTTCTGAAAGAATCAACTGAAACACCAAATGCCACTTCAGCCACTGTATCTTTCTCCAACCTTCTTTAACTATTTGTCTGTTGTACTTCTCCTAAAATATCAGGAATAACCAGTTGATGTCTTTTTTTAATAAAAAACATAAAAATCACTTTAATTAAGAAACTAAAAATTAAAAAAAGCATATGAACAGATAAAGCAAAATACAAATAAGTCAAAGGACTTTAGGAACAGAACTGAAGTTACAGAGGGCAAAAGGGTGGGACCAAGTGTGGGAAAGGGTCTAATGGACCATGGGTTTTTCCCTAAATAAATGAAGTAAATAAATAAACAAGTAATTTTTAGAAAGAATAACTTGGTTGAGTAAGTAATCAGCATTTAGTAAAGAAACCAATTATTATCTCATTGGTCCATAAGGATCTTACAAGATATTCTAAGCAAAACTGTTTATTAATCATTGAATCATTGGAACAAAGTTCCTCAATACTAAAAAATCTGTAGATGATAGGTCATTTAGTATTATCATATCATTTAAATGCATCTGTTACTTGGTGTCCACCTCACATTCTTTGGTGACCATGGTAGGTTAAAAATGGTCAAGTTAAAGACTTTAATTTCTTCTAGAGTTTGCTTTTTTAAAACATCATTTCTTTATTGCTAGGGGAATTACAATGTATTCATACTGTAAATGAACAATCCTTGCAACCAGTTAGGTAACAAGTCATTGTTTCCCACTCTTTCTCCTTTGATGTCACCATCAGCTCTTGAGTAATCATTGACACTTAGGAATAGACGTTGAGCTTAGTGTTCTTACCTGGCACCCTCTTTGCCCAGTTGATCATATGAACCAGCTCCCTGTCTGCCAGGTTGGTCAGCAAGCCCATCATGGAAGCCTCACTGAAGGGTCTGGTAGGATCATAGTCGGAATAGATTATAGGGGGCTCAGCTTCTAACAAGGCACTGACCATCTGATCGGCTGTCAGGGACAGAGCTGGACTGTTCTTCTTCGTGTGCTTAATCAAAAGAGAGGTGGGCCATAGGTCGGTACCTCTCATGTTTCCAGAGGGCCCTGCTTCAGTCCTTCCCTCCCCATCATCTCTCTGGCGCTTATGTTTCAACATTCTTCCTCCTCTTCGGTCTTTCCGTATCCCTGAGAACACAGAGGAAAAAAATTAAAAACCAGATTGTTAATTTTTCCCATGTAAACATTCATGCTAAAAGCAACTTCAGTGAAAATAGCCCTTTGTCTTACTTAAGAAAATGTTTTGCAGCACAGGTGTGCTTGTGTTTAATAACCAGCTGTTCAAGAGGGGGACATGGCTTTAATTTATAGCATCACCAATTTTCATGGTGCAAATCATCCCACCACGGCAAATTTCAAGCTTCTCATCTGACATCAAGTGGCTTACAAGACTTCTGATAGTTTAAAATAGGCTTTTGTGAGTCAATACAAGTTGACCCTTACAAACTCCGTGTGTGTGTGTAACAGATATTGTACAAAGAACAGAATTATAATAATTATCCTTGAACTAAGGTTTAGCATAAAAGGCTGCTTCTGCTATAATACCAGTTTAATAGTAATTTTAAAAAGCATTCTGAAAAGTGAAAAACATAATTAATATTCAAATCGACCTCTTAAGGAAAGACACCAAAGAGGAGTGGCTTGAACAAAATATACATAAAATGTATACAAAGTCATCATTTTGGTGAAAAGTCCATACAGTTACTTTTACTATTAAAGAGAAATACTCTTTATAATATAGCACCTGCTCTATCACTCCATAATAAATGAGTAGCTACTATTTTGTTCTAATTTGTGGACAATTCTGTGGCTGTGAGTTTTTTAATGTATGATTTCTATCTTGGATGCTCAAGTTAGCTCCATTAGAAGACACTAAAAATATAGTGAAGATACACATTCTTACATTCAGAATTAAAAATAAGTCTTTTTATACTCCTAGAATAAGTAATAATAGTAAAGCTATAATTATCATCACTAATATGCCCTGAGTACTTAATCCTTTACAAATAAGCACTTTACAAGTTCAGTCCTTACAATAATACTATGAGTTAGATATTGGGAAACTGTTACTTAGGTTAATGAACTTTTCTCTATCAAGTATGATTCAACATTCTACTCTGAAATGAATTGTTTGTTATTGTTTTCAGTACACAGAGTTTTAAAATTTTATCCATTATCAACAAAGTTGGCAATTTTTAGGACACTCTGAAGTGAAACAGAAGAGAACAGCAGTTTCTGAGAGTCACTGCCCATCAGTCAATTTAACTATTTCACTGGCAGAGGAGCTAATGATATTATCATGTCTGAATTAAGGGGGGGGATATACACACTCTCCTCTTAGCTCATTATACTACACCTGGAATTTCACATGCATTGCTGATGCTCAATAGATCAGCAAAATAAATCTACTGAGATTAGACCACCAGGATGATGAGGAGATGTGAAATCTGGTCACACGGATGTTGACTGAACAAGTAAGAGGAGTTAACCTAGAGGAAGGAAGACATATGGGAAACCTGCATGTCACCCTCAAATGAGCTGTTTCAGGATGATGCTGTGGGACCCTCCTAGTGGCACAACTGGTTAAAATGCAGCACTATGAAGCTATCCACAGCCATTGCAGCACAAGTTTGATCCCTGGCCCACATGGCATGGCAGACCTCTCCTGTCTTGCCACTGCTTCCCTCAGCTGTGTATTTCAGTCAATCTGCATGGTCTGCTCTCCGGTCTCTCTGGTGAATCCTTTCGTCCTTTACACCTCTGGTCTGCACCCCAGTCTTGTATGTATAAATAAATAAATCTTTAAAAAGAAAAAGATGGTGCTGTAGTCTGAACACACACATGCTCCCGAAAGCTACACATTGGAATCTAATTCCCAGCATGGTACTGGATGGACAGCCTTTGGGAAACAATTAGGTCATGAAGGGGGAGCCTTTTTAAGAAGAGATCAGTGGACAGGCTTGCTCTGTCCACCACATGATGAGACGGTAAGGCTGGAAGGCTGAAGCAGAGTCTAGCCAGACATCAGGTCTGCTGACATCTTGATATTGGACTTATCAACCTCCAAACATGGAAAAATACATGTTGATTTTTTTTTAAAGATTTATTTATTTATTCATACAGAACTGGGGTACAGGCCAGAGATGCGGAGGGTGAGAGGATTCACCAGAGACAGAGTGGGGAGCAGAACAGGCAGATCGACGAAGTACACTGCTGAGGGGAGCAGCAGGCGGGTCAGGAGAGGTCTGCCACGCCATGTGGTCACCTCCGGGGCAGGCGGGAATCGAACTCATGCGGAAGTGGCTTTAGATTCTCAGTGCTGTGCTTTAACCCAGGGAGGGCCAATACATGTTGATTTTTAAAGTCATGTAGACTCTGGTACTTTTGTCACAGTGGCCCAAAGGGGCTGTGAGGTCTCCAACCTGCTTGTCAGGAGCCCTTCCAGTAAAAAGGAAATGATATGTAGCAAGTATTTGTGATTATGCCAATCATGCTGACAACAAGTTTCATCTGGCTTCGATATAGAAATGAGATAGATCACAGACGGTGCCAAGAATAAGCTTCCAGGAAAGGTACTAAAACAATTCAACTGCCCAGTAGTCATCCGCAATGGGCAACCATCAGTACTGCTCTCAACATGAGATGTAGGACTCCGATCTCCCATTCAGAATGAAAAACCATTAGAAGGCTTCTGAAAGAAAAAAAGGAAGGGAAAAGCTAAAGCAAAACTTCTTTTAGTTTCATCTTTCTTAAGAAATTCTGAGGTCAGACTATTTAGAGGATGAATTTGATTGTTATTACCTAGTGTGGAGCCTGGGGTTAAATACATGCATTGTTCTTCGGCATTTGTCAAGTGTATTGCTCAACTGTTATTTACAGCCCATGTTCTATAACTTTTAGAAGTGATTGAGAATGTGAACAGATCTTTCCAGAAAGCCACAGCGGTAACTACAGTCTAATATCAGATGGATATGGGAAGATAAAAGCACCGATTTGACAAAAGAAAAGATGGTTAAAAATAAAGCTGTTTTTCCTAAGATGAAATCAAGTTAGCTCATTACAGCTACTCAGAAGCACTTTGCTTTTTAAAAATAAAGTGCATGTTTTCTATTACAAATGTAATTCATCTTAATTTTAAGATTTCAAAGAGAGAGACTTGTAGCTAGAAGGTTAGCCAAATATAACAAAACATGCTGTCACCGTCACACTTTGAAGGGTCTCAGAAATCGTACGATAGGACACATGATTTTAGAAGAATCTTACACTCAATTCAAGTACTAGTAGAGGGAGTTATCAAAAATTGTCAAATATTTGTTCATTTGATTAAGATTTTTAATATTTGGAATGCCTACTAACAGATGATGGTGGTGGCAAACAAAGATAGATCGTATATATTACCCTCCCTAGAGTTTCTAGATGGAGGGAGAAAGGCAACCCAAATGGAGACAGAGTTTGTTAAATGAACAAGTGAGAGAATAAACTGCTCAGCGGAAGGATGGAAGTGATGGAAAGGGAGAAACAGAGTCAGCTTTGGTAACAAGTGAGTTACATTTGAGGCAAATCATGCAATTTCCTTTCTTAAAGAAGTTTAGGATTGAACTGCCTCAGCCAGCGAGTTTGAGTGTCATCCTGTACAAATCTCTCAGTGTTCCCTTCAGGTTGGTGAACACGAGGTAAATATGGCCACAGGTTTAGGAGGCAAAACAGTAAGAGACAACTGGAGAGGTGGAGAGGACAGTTGAATATTTATATTATCATCAAGCAAATAAGGAAAGGGAGATTCCATCTGCATTAACAAATATTTTCCCTGATTAACCTGAACTGGACGCTAGTTTTCAAGGGCCAAGTTCCCTAGAAAATGCACAAGCTGAAGAGAAGTAGAAAATTGTGCATGTTACTTGGTCACCTGCACAGGGTAGGATGCCAGGGCAGAGCTCAGTGACAAAGGCTCCTTTTCTAAAGGGAAGTAGTAATTGTGCATCAAACCAATGACAATGTTGCTCAAATATTTTACAGTAGTTCAAAATAAATTGAACTGGAATTGAGAGGAAAGTGTAAAATGACCCAACTTTTATTTCTATTTTAACCTACCAAGTTAGGTTCACATAAATGAGAATTGCAGATCAAAACCAGTGATTATAGGCTGCGTCACAACAGAACATGCAGCCAGTTCTTAATTATGGAGAATGAGATGGGGCATAGAAATGGATAACTGAAACCCAAAGATAAATTAGCAGAGGTGTCTGCTTCTTATCAAGACATTTTCCAGATTTATAGATCAGCAACATAGATTGGTATTTTACTTCCAAAAAAAAATTCTGATTTCCCTTTGTCTCACTGTAGCTATCAATGAAAAGAATCACAGGACCAAGCACAAGGCAGAGGAGGCTGAAAAGCAATAATAAACAGGCAGTCTCTTGGCAGCCAAAAATTTTATTTGTAGCATTCTGGCCAGTAATGTTATCTAGACAAGCTATATTGCCTTTCAGTGCACAAAGATGTCATTTCCAAAATGGGTGGAGCAAAATATTCAAAGCACAATACAAATATCAAACCGTGGTGAAGCTAGTCTCCAACTATTAGCTCTCAATCTGTGTCAGGGGTAAGACAAGATTTGCCTCCAAACAAATTTCTTTACACTCCCTTCTAAGATGTTCAAGTTTATCCTAATTTAAGGATCATCCACTAGTTTCATATGAGGGGTTGGGAGAACAAACCATCTCTCATCCATAAAGTCTACCATAAATGAGAAACATTATCAGTTTGAAGTTTATCTCCTTGGGCTAAGCCTTCTGTAAAATGCTCATCACACTTCGGTAAGGATTTGGAGAAACCCAGTAGACATCCTCCACTCGGTCATGCTCAATGTAAACGCGTTACTAGTCCCTATTAGGTGTTAACAGAATAGAATTTATCAAACTAATGAACAAGGGCACTTAGCCGAGGGAAGGTTCACAGGTTGCCCTTCCAGGCACGTAGGATCTGGAAGGCAGCAGAAATGCAGTAAGGGACTGAGTCTTGGCAGGAAGAAAGAAGCTGAAGACACATCAGCTGCCCAAACAATTATGTCCTGGCCTGAAATAAAAAGATCTGTCCTAACCTGTCAAACTGGTCATTCTGAAAGACTA